CACTAGGATCAAGCCTGCAACCCAGGCACATGCCCCGACCGGGAATCGAACGGGGAATCGAACCATGACCTCCTGGTTCATAGGTCGAAGCTCAGCTCAGTCACTGAGTCTCGCTCGCCAGGCCGCCCCATCTCCGTTTTACAGAGACCGGGAGAAGAAGGCGCCGGCCAAAGTCCCATGAGTGAGCTGAGCGGAGATTGCGAAAGGGACTAGGGCTGGCTTTGAGCCGGCGGATAGTATGGGGCGCAGCTGCTCACAGGGCCGGGCGTGTGGTAGTTGTTGGGGTGGCCAGGGGGGCGGGGGCGCGTGGGGTGACCTTTTCAGGTGTTTGCTGCTCTCCCCACCCCTCCCTGGCTCACTCAGCCTTCACACACAGCTTCCCAAAGGGCCCAGCTCCCACAGAAGGCGCAGGAGCGGACAGTGAGGAATGAAAACGGGCCTTGTCTGTCTGCTTCCCCTTTGCAGCCTCCGCTGGGCCCCGGGGCCGCCTGCCAGCAGCCAGATGGGAGGCTGGAAGGAACATTTTGGGGAGAGGGAAGGTATTTGCAGGCAGATGGGTGTTGGTGGCGCTGCCCCTGAAACCTGTTGCTCTAACTCACTGAGCTGTTGTTGTTTGAGATGAGACTCCCGGGAGGGGCCAGGGGGGAGGCTGGTGGCGGCCGGGGTGGGGGTGGAGGGCCGAGAGCGGCCTTCCCTTCCGGCAGGGCTCCAACCCTGAAATGACTTTGGCAGCTTCAGACGGACCCTCAAGGCCACAGGGCTCCGCTGAAGCTTGTTTTGATTTGATGCCCCGCTTTGTTCCAGAAAGGATTAGAGGCGCTTACAAAACGGGGTAAGTCACAATAGGATAAAAATAGATCAGAGGGAGACCGAGGCTGCAGCCAACAAGCAGAGGACGAAGAGAACTGGTGTGGGGTGGGCCTCGACGATTCCCCGAGGCGGGCTGGAACTTGGGCTCGGAGCTCCCTGTCAGTCAAAGCGAAAAGGGAAACCCGCCTCTTGTGAGACTCGCGATGGCCCCGGAAGCAGCTTTGACACTGGGTCTGAGAGAGCCGGGCTCCTGGGAGACCCTTGGAGGGGGAGGGCGGGGGCTCCAGGCGACGTCCTGGACACCAGTGGCGTCACAGAGACAGTCACGCGAACCCCAGAGGCTGCCTTTCCGCTCGGCGTGACGCGAAGGCTTGAGGCCAAGACACAGATCAATAAAACGAACTCTCCAGAGGGCCAGACCCCAGCCCTCCCCGCCCCCCGTCACTCACCCGAGACACACAGTGTGGACACTTCCAGAGTGGGATTTCCCAGCCTCCGCGCTACCGGCCCTGGGAGCCCCGTGCCTCCGTTGTCGGGAACTGGCCTGTGCCCTGTGGGAGGGTGAGCAGCATCCCTGGCCGCTTCCCACTGGACGCCAGCTGCTTCCTAGCAACCGTCATGTCAATGCAACATGGCCCGGGACATTCCCAAGTGTCCCGGCTGCTGAAAACCGCTGCTCTTACGGGAATGGGGAGCTGCCTATTTTATTTATTTTTTACCATAGGGCCAACTTAAGACAAAAATGTTTCCAGGTCACGGGTTTTGGGTTCAAAGCCAAAAAAAGGTGGGGGGGGGGGTTATGAAACATATATACTTGGGGAAGATGTGTATTCGTGCATCTTAAATAACCTGCTTCACTGAGAAA